TATTCAGTTTCCTTTTGATGGGGGGCATCAGGTATGTGCTGGTTTGCATATTGCTCGTGTGTAGAGAAATTAAGAATGGTAAATAGCAACCTCACCTAGCATTATACCACTCTTTATATCCCATTTTGTGTGATTCTGGACCTGTTAATGGTTGAACATACATGATCTGTTGGTGGCCTTTTTCCAAAATTATTCAGGATCTGTCAGTCTAAATTGTTATTTGGGGATTTTGTAGTTATAAAGTTAAATTTCATAGATCTTTGACAGTTTTCATGTTATATTTGGATTCTCTTGATAGTTTTCATTGACATAATTGTGATCATGTAGTGTTTTTAAGTGGATTTTTATAGAACTTAGACGGTATTCATGTTATATTTGGTTTTTATTGATGTTTTTTCATTGGAATAATATGATAGTGATTTTAATGGGCTTTGTAATGCTGTTGTACATTTCTATCCTCTGAAACCACTTCACAGTACAGGTTTTGTTGTCTAATATTGTTATCATTTTAATAATTGAAGCCCTATCACTTAATGGTTCAATTCTTTTAGGTTATTTACCTTTGTAAATGGAAAACCTATGGCACAGACTAACTCAATCTAGGACAAATATAGGAGGATGTACCTTGGTTTATGCTTTTTGCTGATGTTATTCTTCTTGTGGATAAGACTAAAGATGGAGTTCAGGAAAAATATGGATTATGGAGATCGATCTACTTTGGAGTCTGAAGGCCTTCGTTTGAGTAGATATAAAACTCAATACATTGAATGTAAATTTAGTAGTAGTAGTTCTAGTGACAGAGTGGTAACTATGGGTGATCAAAACATTAAAAGGTGTGAACGTTTTAGATATCTCGGGTCTGTTGTTCAAAGTCATGGTGATATAGATGAGGATGTTATTAGTAGAATTCAAGTTGGTTGTTTGAAGTGGAGGAGTGCATCAGGCCTGTCGTGTGATTTCAATAAAAATTTTATAAGATGATGGTGATACCCATAATCCTTGATGGCGCAAAATGTTGGCCATTAAAAGAGAAGCATAAGTCGAAGTTAAGTGTTGTTGAGATGAGAATTTTTCGGTGGATGAGTGGCTTGACACTTAGAGACAAAATGTAAAATGAATCTGTCTGTGCAAGGGTTGGTGTAGCTCCAGCTGCAGGAAATGTTAGAGAGAGTCGTCTTAGATGGTGTGGTCACATTAAACATTGTCCATCTGATGATCCGGTCAGGAGAGTCGATGTTATACCTTTAACTTTTGTTAAGAAAGGCAGAGGTAGACTTAAAAAGACTTGGACATATTGTATTAAAAATAATTTGAATCTATTAAAATTAAATGAAAATATAACACTCAATAGGACATAATGGAGAAAAAGGATTATGTACCTGAGCCCACATTGTTTGATTCAAGCTTTTAGGTGTGTCTTAGATCATAAGACCCATCTTAAGTTTTTGAAGAAATATTTGGGACTAATATAATATACTTAAAATGAAGGGACAATGGGCTTCTTAAAGGTTTGTGTGTTAGACATTAGAAATACTCGTAAAGACATAGAAAGATGCCACAAAATCAAATTTCCAGGACTGAAATGAAAGTGCAGATGATCATGAGATAGAGAGATCCCAAGATGGATTCCAACTGATGGTTTAATTCATCATCTTTCCAGACAGAAGTTGGTCATCCACTATAAGCATGAGGGGAAATCAATTATTTTGAAGATGAATGAATAATATATAGCTACATTAACCACTAGGAGGTCATCATTGAAAAATGTGAAAGATAAAATATAGGAAGACTAATGATTTATGGGCTAAATAGCATGCACCAACATGGCTGCCAATATGAGCAAATAGTGGCAACCCCAAAATGGAAAAGAAGTGCAGTACTCTCCATAAAGGAACAAACTGAAAAAAAAAAGACTTGAAATTAAAAATGAAACTTCGAAGAGCTCCATGAAATATAGAGCAAACCAAGAAGCAAAATCCACCAGAGGCAAAGAAAGCATCAGGGCAGCTGTTCAATCCTAGAAATGGTCCCAATTCCTTGGTATCACAAGCTAGGCAAGTTGGATTTCCATTGCCTAAGCCATCTATTGCAATGAAATGTTTTGCCCACCATGGAATAGATTCAACCAAATTAGGAATCATTCCTAGATTTAATTCGTTGTGAATTGAAATAGAAACAGTCAGCCTATTGTGGAGAGCTAGAGAGAGGCCAACAATATGCCTTCCAATGGCATTAGAAAAATACCAGCTCCCAACTGAAGTTTTATTTTTTTGAAGGCACTTAGATGTGAGGTCATGCTAGAATTGACACTTTAATAGGTGTTAAGAATTCAATTTTGAGTTACTTCCAATTTGACTAGAATATATATATAAATTAGCTCAAACCTAGCGAGTTCACAAATTTGCAAGGATAGGCATAAAGCGATTGACTCGTTTTGATAGAATTCCAGAAAGTAAGCTTTGAATTCTGTCACAGGAAAATTGTTAGGTCTGTAAGCTTGTTACCTAAGTCAAGAAGCATTGGGGAGTTGAAGGAGTGACGATAAAGCATCACCCAAAATGGCATTAACCTCTCGTCATTTTGTGAACTCACTAATGTTATGATTTAGAAACTCTGTGAAGAATCTGGTCACCTAAATTCACTTGTATATAACATCAAGCGGGCCTGACGGGGTAATTCAAAGATCAAAAAACAAATCAAGTGTTTCAAAAGCTGCTGCTCGTGTCTTTTCATAGAACATCTTTCATTATTAAACATTCGGGTCTAAAAGAATGAGCAATCCATGTATGTTAATTTAACAAACACGTGTTTATTCAACACTATATTGTTAATGTGATGTCATCTTGATAGATTAATGATGATTTTGACATTTCTTTTTGTATTTATTTATTTTAGTTCTAGTCTAACATGTAGGCGTTGACATAATTGTTAAATAACCAGTTGCCATTAGAATATAAGACATTTTCAAAGAAATTGTTGTTTAAAGATGCTAGTTGATCGAAGAATTGACATATGCTACACATCAAATATTAAAAATATTTTCAATTTGTTGAATTTTTCCAGCTCAGGAGAATGAAGGATTTTTGCAAAGAGGTGAGAGTTCAGCTTATCAATCGAGGATGAAAGACTTGATTTGATGCTAGTAGAAGGAAAAGGGAGAGTAATCAGTAGGTCTGTCCTGCTAGACTAGTTAACGACTACAAAGAGTCTTTATTAACACTATCAGAGGATGTAATCAAGCCGGTAGGTCTGTCCTGCTAGGCTAGTAACACCAGCTAATGAATCTTTGTTAACACTTTATCATAGAATGTAATCATGCTTATAGGAGTTATACCTCCAAGATGCTCGTTAAATAATTGGTAGGTCTTGTTGGCTAAAAGCTGAGATGCCAGATAAGTAATCTTTAGGTTCTTTAGGTTAAAACAAGCTGCACGAACAAGTGAGTCTTTATTAGCACTGCATTAGAGAGTACTCCTGCTTCTATCATCAGAACTAAAGATGATTCCACTTGAATGCATTGGATTAAGCGTTATTTGATAAGCAAGATAAGTCAATGTAAACATTAAATAATTGGGTAGAGATTGAAGCAAGCCCTCTAGCAGATGGAAAATAATCGTCAAGATACCTAATGTTGAAAGATAAGGAAAATCTTTGATGCAGGCATTGATTTTAGCCTGATAACCCTTAATAGAAAAGACCTTTTGGAGAAAGCCTCAAGATAAGAGTTGGTCTATTGAGTGATGGAGATCTAAGTGTTTACAATAGGTGGAAATGTTGGGAAAATTACAAACAAATGTATTTTTTGTGTTTTAAAATTAGGCATTTTGAATATGCCTCTGATTAATGCCTGCATAAATGTGATCTTTTTTTTATCATTTTGACTTGCTCATAATTTAAAGTGCAGTTATAATAAAATTCAAATAGTTGGTACGGTCATTGATCCCTCTTTTAAATGTCAAATCAATGTTTGGCTTTCGGTTTTATTTGGCCAACTGCAATTTCTGTATTTCTTCATGCATTCCAGGCGTGTTCTTGTTATTCAAGAAGTTGCCCTCTGGGTGCACCCAACTCATGTACTTATTTAAACTGGGAACATGCGAATATGTGTTTTTTATTTAGTTGGACAAATGATTGCTCAATTCAATAGTGTAATTAGCTTATCAGGAGTAAATTAATGTTTAAGTAAATTTTATTTGGTTCATGTAATAGGCGAATGGATCATCTTTGATCTAATCTGAAGGCCTACCCCTACGGTTTTTTATCTCATATGTTAATTAATAGAGAATCAAGTTTGAGAGCTTAATGGCGAATTCAAAATAAATCATGGACCTTTGAGGATAGGGTAGGTTTTATCACTAAATGGCGAATTCAAAATAGTGTTGACATTTACTAAACTTAACATTAGTTATGAATTTTTTTAGCAAACATATCACTCTGTGAAATATAATATTATACACACAGACACATTACAAGAAAAGCTTAACAATAACAAAATTCGATAATATTAATAATATAAGAAATATTTTGCCATGCATGACTGCCATTTGTTAGTAACACTCCTATATTAGCATTCATCTGTTGGTATCTCTCATTTGGCGTACTTGTGTTATGCCTTGATTATGTTGGGCCATGTGTAACTTTGAGTTAGAATGCTCCATTTTTATACCAATTAGGTTTTCCCACAGGATTTGCTCAAATTTAAAGTTTTATAGGATGCTGACTAAAGTCAATGTGTCTGGTGCATTCGTTTAGCTACAAGACTAATTAAGTTGATATATTTCTTATATCAGGCCAGTTACTATTGTGTTTTAATTGAGCCTGATCATGCAATGTGTTGGGCTAGTCCAATTGATAAATGCATTCAAACCTGGTGGGTTAACTCTGAGCTCAAAAACATGCTTGCACACCACTTAATTTGCTCGTTTAGTTTTGTCATGTATGCCATCTAAGTGGGTCTTTTTTTTTTTTTTTGATCATGTATTCTCTAATACCTGCTATAGGCACAACAAAGGTAACTGTTGGCATGTGCTTCTTCTTCCAATGTCGACAATTGAATACCAATGGACCTCCAGAATCCTTGCAGATGATAGCTTACCGTTAATTCGGTCCTAAACAATTATTGCTACGCCCATTGGCTTGATAGGCAACAACCCTTATTACGACATCATGAATGAGCTTAGCTTTGAATAAGTTGGAGCCCTCATGTCATCTTGAGAATGGTTGTTAATTGCTTTATCTTACCATTTGTCCATCAATGGAAGCATGTCAAAAGTGGTTCGAGACATTATGCTCACATCACCTTATAGGCATCGCTATGTTCCTATGGGATAACTTCATCGTTGCTGTCTTTACAGCGAAGCATTGATCTTTATCGATTAGCCAAAAATTCGACCGAGTGTGAGCGTTTGCTGTTAACGAAGGGGATTAGAGGCGTTTGATGCCTTTGGATGTGGCCACATGATCATAATTCGTCCCCTTTATTAGCTTTAATGGTTTCAAGGCTATTTATAATCAATTTGCCAAAACGATTAGTATACACTATAAATAAGAAAATAATTAATCAACATAAAAGCCTTGTCGACTTTCACTTCCAAACTCTTTATTGGCATTGTCGACCTTCAAGCATATCATGGCCTGTTTGTCTTGAAGCTATTTATGAAGCATTCTGAGCTGTTTGCATATTGAGCTCCTCTAAGACATGCTAAACTTGTGAAGTATATTGAAATCCTTAAAGAATTTGTATAATTTTTTCGTGATCCTTGAGCTACAAGCATCCCACTTTCGATTCACTAGTTTGTTTGATAAATACTTAATTAATCTTAAGCCTGTTTATGCTTAACTAATAGTAATTTACTTGGCTCTCATTTACAACTCAATGAGTTCTATTCCAACAATTGAGCTTGCTTTTGATCTATCAATACTTGTTTCCAATCTACTTTCATCATATTTGAAATTCTCTTAATTTCACTGCCTATAATGCTAAATTTTGGTTTTTCAATGTTGTTTTATGTCGTACTTTTTATTGTGATTGTTGATGATTCCTCTTCTATCTTATCAAGTGGCCTTGAAACTCATTGAGGATCGTCTTTTTATTGTCAATGTTAAGTTACAAAGGTCCTTCATCAAAATTTCTATTTTTATATGTTAATTGACCATTAAATTGAGTAGTTGACTTTTGTCAAGGTTGACAATTTTATATTTATATAAAAAAAATTATTTTTATGATTCACACCAAATATAACTTCATAGTTGTTGGGACTAAGATAAATCCTATATTTAAATATGTTTTCAATTTTAAAATAGATTTCAGCTTTGAAAGCCCCTTTTTTTTAATTTTGAAGAGTAAAAATTCAATTTACCACTAAAATTTAACTTGTAGAGTGAAACCTTAATGTTGGTGATTATCATAAAAAGATAATTTTTTTATGAACATTAGTGAGATATGAATGTATAGAAATGTAAGTCATTGCTTAGAATATAAAAGCATATCATTCGAAGTAGTCACCGAATATTTTATAAACCTATTTGCTAGATGGGTTTTATATGGCAAGGTTCATGCTATAGCTTAGAAAATTAAAAGAAAAATTACAGTTTAGGTTTTGAGGAATAAACAATTGATTGCAATTTTTTTTTTTATAATTAAGTTATATGTAAAGAAAAAATGCGACTTAGATTGATAATATATATATATATATATATATATATATAGAGAGAGAGAGAGAGAGAGAGAGAGAGATTTCAAAGGAATGGTCAGAGGCTATTATACGGGCCTCTAACCACTCCTAATTCGAGTATCATCTCCCCGAGTAGATTTGAATCCCCGACATGAGGGGTCACAAACACACACACATATAGACCATATATATACATATATATATCCTATAATTGCCCAGTTAACAACAGTCCATAAGTAATAGATCCATCCAATACAGTGAGGTATGAAATGCAGTAAACATAGAATAGGCAAACGGCTTGTATGAAAGGCATGACGTTCAAGGGGATGTCATCTTTTCAGTTGCAAGAGATCTATAACAACGGAGAACTGAAATGCGCAAGCTCATTGAAGAGAACCTTGAGAGTTCAGGGTTTAGAAATCGTGCGGCCACTTGCAAATTTAATTTAAAAAAAAAAAGGCATGCAATACCCCATGTCATATAGAACCATGGCCATTTGAATGGCAGGAGCCGAACAAAAAGTTAGGCTACTCATATTAAAAAAGAACAATGCAATTTGCCAAAAAAATAAGGCTAAAGAAATCCAATCCTAGCTCTAAGAGGACGATCTGTGTTGAAGTAGGGGAAGAGGCTGGAAGGCATCATCATAGCTAAAGTTATTCTTAGGGTTCATGATTGTCCTAATCACTATTAATGTCATCCACCTAACGCTTAATCATGCCAACAGTAAAAATGAATCCAACAAGGGGTAGTTAGGTAGATGATGTTCCATGTGTGCAAACATAGAACATCTATCAGATGGGAGGTCAAACAAACAGGAAGTAAAAGAGAGAAAATTAGGTGTTAAAAAAAAAAAAAAAATCTAAACAATTATTAATTTCATATCCTGCAAAGCAAACATAGATTGTCATCAAACAAAATAAAAATCAACAGGTAAAAACACTAAAAGCTGAAAACACCACCCTTAGTGGGACAACGAAGACACTAAAAAATATGAAGACCGACTGTGGCATCAAAATCAGCTTAAAAGGTTGTCTGATAACATCAACAGGCTGAGGATACAGAAGACATTAATAATGCAAAGTTAGTCGACCCACAGAGGTCCGAAGAGCTGAAGGTCAACAGCCTGGTTGAGTAATTCAGTAGTGGCATGGTGCCGTCCAGATGTAGGGTATGGAGATAGAGATGACAGGGCATAAGTTTGTTCGGTGTATGCGCGAGCTACTGTAGAGAAATCAGGCTGAACCCCCATCATATTAGGATCCCATGTTGGAATTTGCCTGGCAGAAGTTGCTGGAGCGCCATACATTGATGGAGCTTGAGGAGCACTTTGCCAACTGGCGACAGCAGCAGGCACAGCAGGAGGTTGTGGTGATGAAAGAACGCCTGAATCAGGAATTGTATAATCCCTGCTTTTGTCAGAGTGTGCCTGAAAAAAGAAATGTGCGTATATTAGAAAGAACTGAATTTAGGATCAATAAGAACGAGAAAATCATATGCTAATGATTAAGGTCTTTCCAAATGACCTATTTCTGAGGATATAACAAAGTTCTTCATTATCAAACGACCTTAATGTTTCTCATGTTATTACTCATCAATATTTTCAGACAACACAAACATATTTATACCTTTACAATGAGATCAGTATAACGAGAATATGACAGATGAAGCTTACAGTAGCCACCATCATTGAGGCAGTGCCCTTCTAATGCTTCTTTAGAAACTGCTGCAGCTGTCACATCTGCATTATCATAACAAAATCCCATCATTTTCTCAGAAGCCTGGATATAAAAGTAAAATAAAACACTACTAGCTTGCATTGCATATAATGAGAATGAACTGACATACACATCACCATCAACTAGATCAATGATATCTAACAATCAGAAACTAATAAGCATCAATGAAATCCGTATCAATTACAGAATGTGCAAACAAATTATAAGACTAGGCAGCAACGAAGATCATGGTAAATGCCTAACATACATAAACGACCAGAGATGAACCGTCAAGTGTTACTATTCACAGTTTAATGTAATCACAAGCAATGTAAATTATTCCAGCCTACCGGGATACTGGATTAAAGCCTGCATGTCACCATTCTTCTCAAATATTGCAATTTTTTTGACCGTACCGAAGGCCAAGAAGACCTGGATTTCTTTTCCATATGAGAAATGTTGTTACAAATTAAAGAATGTAGCCTATTATTAACCAAATCGCAGAAGCAATCGACTCACAGTATGAAGCACATCAACAGTAACATCATATTGCATATTCTCGATGGAAGCAAGAAGTACATTGCTTTCAGGCTCCTTTGTCTTACCATCAGGACCTAATGCAGGCTGCATACGGAACACATATTTAAAGGTGGACATATTTAGTGAAAAAGAAAATAAAGATCACCATAAGAAGCAAACCTGTAAAGTGCTCTCTATTGCCGAAGGGTTAACAGGCAGATAAGGATTAGGTAATCTCGGTTCAGGGAATCAAATATACAAAGTTGTAAGCTCATGACATAGGAGTTGGGCATTCAAAATTTGGAAGTGAACTAAACAGATTAAAGTGGACTAGTAACATAGCAAATGCAATTTGGAAAGTACACTAAAAACTAAAATTTTAGAGATCAAAAGACCGACCAAACTATGAGAAAAAATTTCATTGTTTTAGCTAACTTTAGTGGGATTAAGTTTTATTTTCACTATCTGTGCATCAATAAATGCTACCAATCTTGCATAGATGCTGAAGAACAATACATTAAGCACCCCAAAAATTAAATATCCATGAAAGAATAAGAGTTTTAGTAACTACAAGCTTAATATCATGTCAGAAAAGAAATGTATCGTCAACCAATTTGATGGACAACGGATATCTTCATCATCATGATTAAATTTATACAAACTGCTTGGGCTCATAAAATACCCTCTCTTTTCATTCATCATTATGCCTATTTTATGTAAAACTCATTTTCTATTCGTCCTTATGCCTGTTCTATGCAAATCTCTCTGTAATCTATCCAATTTATCTTTGGTCACCGTTATCTACTCACCTTATAGTGCGGTCTTTTAATCTTTGTTTTAATCTTTGTAGCACATGTCACATGTCAAATCACAGAAGTCTACTTTCCACTGCTTATATTCAGTATATGTTGCTTCCATCATCCCTCTAATACAATCAATATTTTATGAGTGATTTCTAACTTTCTTATACATCCATTACAACATTTTTGTTTTTGCCTTGTTCAACATCTCTATCAATATTTTTTTTTACCAAATACTCATATTAGTAGGAAAAATGTTCTAATTGTAATTTTCTAGAGTTTACATTTAAATGTTAGAGACATTCAACACTTATCCAACTTAATGGTGTGTGAGTTTTTAAACCTATTTTATGCAAATCTTGTTTGCAAAACCTTTATACAAGTTTTTTTTGGTTTACCTCTTTAATTTTATTTATTCATCTTAATAATGCAATTTCTAAACTTTGTTGGAAATCTAAAAAGAGCTACGCTTATTTTTTACTACTTCATATGTAATAGTTATTACTGCCACTATATTATTAATATAATCATTTCAGTATATCATTTCTGGCTTTATCCCAAATCATTAAACTTGCTCTACTTTGTCTATCAGTTGCTTAACAAAAAAAAGATGAAAGTAGAGATCGAAATTGCATTCGATTAACCACTAAATAATCTCAAAATGAATGTATACCTGCTGCGATGTGACTGGAATTTGATATTTAAATCTGTGTGCAGAATATGAGATGCGCAAGTGGCAAGAAGTGACATGTTCTGGGAGTATCTGGCAATCAAGAACTAGGGTCAATAAGTTTGTACAAGATTAAATTCCATAACCCAAATAATCTAAGAAAGTCAAATGGAACCTTGGAATACTCCTTCCATCTAATGCATTTCTAGCAGCTGAGGCAGTCTCTGCATCGGTAAACAGGATCAAGGCCTACAAAATAGAAGTTTTTGAGTCTCAATGCCAAAACGAATCTATTAATGCATTTGAGAACAGCTACTTATAAATGACCTGAAAACCAGCAGCCTTCTCGAACGTAGCAATCTTGTGCACAAATCCAAATGCTGAAAAAACCTAAACGAGATTTTAAACATTATTAAAAGAAGTATAGCTCCAAAAGCAAAGAAAACACCCAAGCCAATTCAATGGAGATGAAAGATTTACAGCTCCAACTCTAAATGGTAGGGATGAGATTAATGATGATGACAATGCTTTATAAAATATATGAGTCAAAACAATAAGATCAATAACTTGAATAAAACTATAGTAACCCATTGCTTAAGAAACATCTCTTTGAAGCACTTCTTTTTTCTGTGGAAATTAAAAGGGTAGAATCCATCAGGTTATTGGCTTGCAGTTTAATGTCTTAAGCTATGTTTTGAACTTTAAAGATTATACATCCCACCTCGTTACAAAATACCAAAAGCTTCCACTGTAGCTTCCACTTAGTCAAACCAAAAGCAATAAGCACAATACTACATCCCAATATCAAGTTAGTAACATTTTCTCACAACAACAATAACGACAACAACAAAACCTTTATCCAACTAAGTGGGGTCAGCTACATGAATCCTTCCATTGTGTCCTATTTAGTGTCATATTTTCATTTAATTTTAATAAATTACTATTATTTTTTATACAATAAGCTCAAGTCATCCTAGGTCTACTTTTGCCTTTCTTAACATAAATCTAATCTAAAACATCTACTCTTCTAATCAGACGACGTTTAATGTGACCAAATCGTCTAAGAAGACACTCTCTAATTTTGTCCTTCACTGGAGCTAGACCAACCCTATTGCAGATATATATTCATTCCGCATTTTGTCTCTAAGTGTAAAGTCACTCAGCCACATAATCATTCTCATCTTGGCAACACTGAACTTAGTTTTATGCTTCTCTTTTAAAGGCCAACTTTCAACACCATAGAGCATTGCAGATCTCATCACCATCTTATAAAATTTTCCTTTCAGTCTAAGCGGTACTTTTTTATCACACAATAGGCCCGAAGCATTCCTCCACTTCAACCAACCAACTTGAATTCTACTAATAACATCCCCATCAATATCACCATCACTTTGAACAATAGAACCTAGGTATTTAAAGCGTTCACACTTTTTAATAATTTGATCACCCATAGATACATTTCTGTCACTAGGGCTACTGCTACTAAAATTACATTCCATGCATTCAGTTTTAGTTCTAACACTGTCATTGTCGGTTCCAAGCCCGGATGTGAAAAGTGGAGGGGTGCGTTAGGTAGTCGATAGCCAGAGTAAAACTTGTCGAAAAAATAATGACATAAATCGTTTTGTAACTAAATAGGATGCAATGGAGAAAAAAGATTCATGTAGCCGACCCCATGAAGTGGGATTAAGGTTTTGTTGTTGTTGTGGTGGTGAGACCTGCAATGCTCTATGGCGCTGAATGTTGGCCTTTAGCTTTTAGACTCCAAGGTAATTTTAGACTCCAAGGTAAACCTCCATAATTCAATTTTTTCCTGAGCTTTTTCTCTCGTCTTATACATGAGAATGATATCATCAGCAAAAAGCATACACCAAGGTACATCCTCCTGTAAGTTCATGTCATTTTCTCACGCAGTCAAATAAAAATTCTCTTCAATGTTCTTGTTCATTCTACATTTAATATAGGGACATATACATACATACCACTTATTTCCCATATATTCACATACTAACACCTAAACTTTGTTTTTTACAATTATACCACCCAAATGTTTCATATCACATCAAGAATACCATGATTTTAACTTTTAAAAAGTGAAATACACATTTTCATACACAAAAAGGAAGCATATATGTAAAAATAAAAGTGTAGGTATTATATATGTAAATACAAAAGAATTGAGCGGTATTTATGTAAATCTTCCTTTAAGATAATTCTCCGAAACATGAAATTTCTTCCTGTAAGAAATACAATTAAATACAATTCAAGAAAAGTAAACTATTTTTACTGTACCTTGACATTGCTATTAACTGTTATGATCCGAGAAATATACAGTTGCTTTCAATTATTTTTCCGACCAATTTTACAACATTCAAATATTCTATCCACACTAAGGAAGCTTAAATCTACATCATATAGGACACTAATATATTATACTTTGAACAATTAGTAATTAAAAATTCATGAAGCACGTCAAAGCTGTATCTAATACGGGGTTTGAGGCTCACAGCAGCAGAGGGCATTGGCTTCATCCGCAACATGCTGCCAAGTTTCTCAGTCATTCACCATCCCAACTTCCAATAGACCAATGAAGACTGCCTTGCATCGGTGCGATGACATTACATTCTCGAAAAATATCCATATAAACATCATGCAAGGAGCTGCAACAACTGTACATTTCATGGTTAACAAAACCAACACATTAATTGTTAAGGCGTCAGATTTGAAGTAAACAACATTTAATCATTAAGTGACCTTGGGGTCCCTATAGCATTCAAGAGAGCTATTATGGATGGAATGAGAACCACACCCCAAACTGGAACTTCTGCTTCAGGGAAGAAAGCTGTTGACGGTACGATAACACAGCAGAAGAAGAAGTGACAATGCGAGACACAATTCTTCAATATTTTTAAAATTGCAAAAAGATCATGTTCCTTTTGTATTGAGTCGAAAGAAACAGACCTTGGCTGCCATAATTTCAGAGGCCATTTTTCTAAATAAATTTGCAGGTCCACAAGCCCATCGATGCTGTTGATAACGATATACTTTGTAAGTGCTGGGAAGTTCACTTCTAACCTAAAGGCAATTACAGAGATCAGGGACTGAAGCAGGAAGGTGAATGGGAATTCGCACAGAACAATTTCTTTAACCTCGAAACAGATACAGGGAAAGTATATGTATGTAGGAGTAGAATATTCTAGCAGCCTTTTTAGCATAACACCTAATTACCACTAGGTAGTTACAAGGGTAGTGCACTCCACTTGCTGCTCCTTAGCACATGGTGCATTAGAACATACCTGAGAGTATTTCTGTTGTGATCCCCCTTCAAGATGATGGTTCTTGGAGAGAATCTGAAACTTGGATCTAAAATAGTTGAACTTGGATTTATTAAGTGCTTCAGTAAGGATGTCACCTGATTGGTTATAAGTGGGAATGTAGTGAATTTCGATTTTGACCCCATTGAAGAGGATCTTGAATAAAATGGTAGTTCATCTTGATGTGCTTAGTTCGAGCATGAAAAACTAGGTTGTTAGCAAGTGCCATGACCGAGTTGTTACATATAATATTTTTGTCGGTTGAGATTGAGGGACACCGAGTTCCATTAGTTGGCAACGAAGCCATATATGTCACATAATTCTAAAACTTGACCAAAAATATTATTATCAATGATTGCAATTGTCTTTATACTACTAAAATTTCCAACAACACACCTAACTTGTAGTTCTACCAATCATTATTACACTTTGACTTTAGCAGATTCAATAGACAAACCATTTACACTGCATCTCATAAAATTAATAAAAAAATTATAGATGGAGTCACAAAACAATGATTATTCTAACTCAAATGCAACTTCTCAAGTTGTAATACCTTAATCACTTTCCTAAAATGCACCTATTATAATAATAAAATATCATTAAAGTAAAGAAGAACAACTTTCTGAAAAACAATGAAATTTGTTCAATTCATCATTTAGATTAATAAACAACAATAAAAATTTTAATTCCAACAAAACTTCTCATTACTCCATCAAAACTAATGATTTCATCATCACATAAACGAAAATAAAATTATCATTTTCAAACTCATGATTTATATTTGCAAACAATCAAATGCGCCTTAAAGAGAAATAATGGAAAACAAAAGAATTTATGTCACATGTGTAATCCCACACTAATATGTGCACAAGAAATTCACAAATAAATATTGAGTTCCATATATTTTTAAGTTACCTACAATAACATCTTTCCTTGGAAGCATTGCTTGCCAAAACAAACTGACAACTTTTCTACTTCAAGCTGTAGGATCTAATGTCTCCTTGACTTGCAAAAGGAAAGGCACAACTTCATTCTACAGAAAAAAAAGGCCAAAGATTCGTCTTTTGCTTATATTCGCCCAAGAAGCGACTCATGAGCATAATTATGGACCAGCCAAAGCCTATAGTCAAGAAAATGTAAGTACAACCCTCCTGATGGGAAAGCAAACTGAGGCAGCAAATATATATCCACCTACAAGGATTCATTAAGGGGGTTGGATCTCGATGGGCTTATCTGAAAATTAAGAGGGTTAGAGCGCCCGCCCAAACATAAAATTGAAGTCAACATTCAAGTTCAGTGCAATACCTAGTATAAGCTAATCTCTCCATGCCCACTTTCTATATTCATATGTATACTGCATAATTCTCATGGATTTACTTATGCAACACCTTACATGTTGGTGTCATAACACTACGATAGAAAAGGTGTATTTCAATTTTTAAAAGTTAGTAATGGTGGTGTTTATGTAATATTAAAGATTGAGTGTTATGCTTGCAAATATAAAAGTATAAGTGTTAGATATGCAAACACATAAGGTGTGTGTGGTATGTTTATCATAAATAACAAAGGATTATGACCAACACATATAACCATCTACTCATAACATCAAATTCTACTGAAATATTGAAAAAATGGCACCGAGTTAGATACCTGGAAAGAAGTGTTGTTCAGAGGCCAGTTAAAAGCAGGCTGGTCATTCGACCTGCTCTTATTAGACCATGGTTGAAGTCGAAGCTCTTCAATCCATTTCATCAGCACAGCTTTTGCTCTATCTGTTGGACGGAGAAAGATCATGCAGCTACAAATGTATGTTCTTCCTTTCTTCCCAGGTTGCGGCAAGCCATGAGAATGATTCAAGGGCTTCACCATTTAATTAAAAAAATTAAGAAAAATTAGCACTTTCCTCATTACTGATACCTCACAAGAAAATGAAGGACTTACAACAATCATATCATTGGTGAAGTAAATGTCAAGGTGCCCTTCCAGATAGGGAAAAGGATCAGAAAGCCAAACCATGTCCACATCATTATACATCACACTATAGCCTAACTCCGAGATCAAGCAGATGCCTAGGCCTCCGAGATGTAAAAGCCTCTCTCCTAGAATCTCACCTCTTGTAAAAGCACAGTGCTTTGAGATCCGATCCAGCTATCATCAAATGCAGAAAAGCTTTATGGCAGATATGTAGATAAGCAAAAATTTAGCTCTCAGACAAGTTCTGCTCAAAATTCTCCCAAAACCTGATACTATGTGAAATACTTTATGTCAAAATTGTAAATAAGTAAAATTTTGTTTGCAGGCAAATTCTGCTCCAAAATTTACTCAAAACCTGATGCCATGAGAAAAAAGCTTCAACTTTTATGAGTCAGAATGGTTCCATCTGGGATGCCCATGTCTAACATGAGAAAAGGACAAGGCTTTGAGATCCAATTCAACCATCATCAAATGCAGAGAAGTTTTATGACAGAACTGTAAATAAGCAAAAATTTTGCTCCAAAATTCTACCCAAAACCTAATGCCATGAGCAAAAGGTTCAACTTTTATGAGTTAGAATGGTTTCCACCATCTATGGGAGACGAATTGGGATTCGTTGTGGCTTATAGAAGGAAGAGAGGGTTCCTTTAAATTTTTATTCATTATTTTTTTAACCTTCTCAATTTATGTGCCACTAATTGGCACACCAAAACCTAACAATATACGTGTCCTCCCTAAGTAAAGTCGAGCTTCCGGACACGCTTGCGTAGTCTATTTTGCCATCGGACAACGTTTGGGATAATATCGTTGTCGGTTGAATCATTTTATCTCGATTGGCTTGTTGCTGGCTCATATACAAATGCATAGCAATATATGTTTTTTTTGGGCAAATTGGATGTTCCAAATGCATCAGCATAGTTTTCTCTGTAATCAAAGGTTGTTTGAGCTACTATCGACGACGATCGAAACAAATTGGGTCCAAATCACATACATCGCTCTAAAAATTCTTTGTTTTTGTCTTGGTTGCTCCTTTTCTATCATGGAATATCTATTTACGTAATTTATATCATTCGGATGCGTTCAAACAAATTGTTTTGTCATCAAAAATCGTTTTGGTAACTTCGTCGACAGTTGAGACGATTTGGGCTTGAATTACGCACTTCGCTCCATTAACCTGTTGTTTTGTCGTGCTCGATCCTTTCAATCATGAAAGATCCTCGTTAGGTAATTTTGATGTTCTGAACATAGCGATGAAGTTTGTTTTGCAAATGTGCATTATTTGATGTGAATTACAAGTATGCTTGAGACATTCCAAATTTGATCGCACACTGTTGTATTCTTCATTTGGTGCTTAGAAGAATTACCTCAGGAATCTAACTACATTGATATGCAGGCACTAATACTTTCAAATATAGGGATGAAATTCAATAATTTGAAACACACAAAAATCAATAGTTCCAATTCCCCTGCAAAAGGTTATAAATGTATGGTTAAAAGTTTTTGAATGTTGCATTCATTTGCTATTTGGCTCCTTATAACAATCTTGATTCTTATAAGTATCTTGCATGATGATGAAGCATTCCTCCTGGTGAATGTGGGAAATGATGATCAACCAGGAAGCCGAGAACTTCGAAGGAGGTGATTAAGCAACATCAAAACTACACTGCCAAAAGAGATGATAAGCTCGATTTATATGACTTCCACCTCAAGCCAGCTTAGATTACTCCCACCACAAGAATAAGAGAAATGTCTTTACTCCCTTGCTATGGGTGCCAAGGAGGAGGACGATTTTATTTATAAAGATGGCAAGACTCCATCATATTAATGAACCCAAATAGTGGATATATCTGTTATGGCTTATTAATTGTACTTAGTAGTAATTACCGGCCTATCATTCAGAATAGGATTTATATTTATCCTTACCTGTAACAAGTCTTTTAAATAAATTGAATCTGTTTTCATTTCCAGTAACATCACAATTCTCTCACATCACAATTCATCACCAGAAAGAAGAAAGAATAGAGAGAGAATTAGGTGGTGGAATAGGGTGATAATTAGTCAGCCATCCTTCAATAGGTTTGATAAAATTACTCTGAATAAGAGAGGAAAGTTCCTTCAGTTTGCCAATATAATTGAGTCAAACACTTCCACATAGGATGCATGTTATTAATGTGTCGAGTTTCTATTGGAGAGAACAGAGAGCTGCCAATGTAAGCGTTTTACTTTGATTTAATTTCCTAATGTCTTGGCTTTCAAACTCACATCATTGATCAAACAATCCCTATCCGTGGCTTATAAGACCCTCATTTAATGCATCCTTGCTAATAACATTTCCTTTCTTTCTTCTGTTCCGTATTTATTTGTGGTTATCTTACATGCTATTGGTCCTTTTGGGCCGCTTTACCTCTGATTAGGATGGCTTAGAATCCGTATATGTTGAATCAAGAATATGAATAAACGTCTTTAACCAAGAGTTTTATCTAAAAGATGTACTTAATCATGGTGCTCGAGTCCTAAGAAAAAAAAAAAATCTTTTAGAACTATATAAATCATGTTTGGCAATCCATATAATTCATATAAATATTCTCCATGATACATATTAGGTCTTCCTTCCATTTGCTTGTTGCACTTGTAAGAATATACTACTACCATTTCTAGTTCCATTAGGGCCGCACAACCTGGTTTAATCTGCCAACATCACAAGTCTCACTTGAAGCTCAAAGCCGCATTGGCATTTCTTATTTTTCTGTGCTGCCAGTGTAAAATTAGTTATAAAAGCAGCCTTCACACCATGCGTGATAAATCACCAATAGTTCCTTCATAAACATGTACATACATTTCAACTTAGTGATGCTTTGCAAGCTCATAAAGACAAAGATTTCCACTTGCTGGTATTGCTATGCTTCATTCTGCCTTGGAAGAGCCAACATAAAGCTGTCTTTCACCAAAACTACAGAACAGAACCAAAATTGTTAATCTTCTACATAAACAACTCCAAAAACTTTATTTAGCTTCAGCATATTGAATGGGACTGATGATCTCACACAACCAACTGTGCCAAAGGTGCTTCACTGATCTCAACCCAGCTGCATCCGGGACTTTTGCCTCCTCTCATGCTTCTAATTGCCGCCCTTATCTTCCCGGCATCAGCCCACCTTCCAGAGTCAGCATAAATACTTGCGAGAATCACAGAATGAGATGGGTTTTGAGGCTCCAGTTTCAACAAGTTTTCTACAGCCAATTCTCCCATCTTCACGTGACAGTGCATTCTGGCAGCACCCAGTAAAGCTCCCCAAACACTGGAATCAGCCGCTTCTGGCATAGATTTAATCAACTCCCATGCTTCATCAAACTGGCCAGCCCGGCCCATTAAATCAACCATGCAGGCATAGTGTTTCTTGTTAGGTTCCAGACAGAGCTCAGAGCACATTGATTTGAAAATTCTTCTTCCGTCGTCAACCAAACCCACATGCGCGCAAGCAGACAAGACGCTAACTAATGACACAGAATCAGGTCGGATGCAGCTTTGTTTCATTTGCAAAAAAAGGTTGATGGCACTTTCACCAATCCCATGCATGGCATATCCAGCAAGCATGACATTCCATGATACAACATCTCTATAGTGCATTAGATCAAACAAGTCTCGAGCCACATCTAGTCTTCCACATTTTGAATACATGTCAAGCAAACTATTCCCAACGAGCACATGACACTCAAAGCCAGTCCGAATGGTGAAGGAATGGAGAGCTAAACCATCTCTTAAAGAAGAAAGGCAACCAGCAGTGGGGATAATGCTCACAAGTGTAACTAGGTTGGGCCTGATATTCTCAGACCTCATTTGATAGAAAAAAGATATTGCTTCATTTGCAAGTCCATTGTGCATGTATCCTGCAATCATCGTATTCCATGCTATCACATCCACATGAAATTTTGTCTCCCAGAAAATAGTTTCAGCAGATTTAAGGTCCCCACACTTGGCATACATATCCATGGTGGCATTCTTCACATGAAGGTCTGATCCAAAACCTCCTTTTATTGCCAGTCCATGAACAGTTATTCCTTGAAGAAATTTATCTAGAAATGAAAAGACTGAAAGCAGACCAACAAGGGTTCCACGATCCGGTTGCAGTCCAATTAGACACAGCTCATGAAACATTTTCACAGCATTATCAACATCTCCAATCTGTGCATATCCATTTATGAGGGCATTCCAGGTGACAACATCTTTGTTCTGCAATCTATCAAACACGTTAAGCGAAGAGATGAAGGATCCGCATTGGGCATACATTGCCACCAAAGCAGTACCCACAGAGCCATCAACGCCGATATCAGATTTCAATGCAATACAGTGGATGCTCTTTCCCGCATTCAGATCTAACATGTCCGCACAAGCTGGAAGGATGCCCACAATAGTAATAGCACTAGGCATAATACCTTCCAAAATCATCTTCTTGAAAATCGATAGCGATTCTTCTGGGTTGCCTGATTGGGCAAAGGCTGAGATCATGGCAGACCAAGCAACGATATCCTTCTCGGGCATTCCCTCGAAGAACAATCGGCTTGCTTTTTCTACTTCTCCGCATTTGGCATACATTGTCACCAGCACTGTATTGACTGAAATATCAAAATCCAAACCCCTGTCAACTGCATGCATATGAATTTCAACCCCTTTTCCCAAATTTCCAGTTTCAGCAGCAGCAGAAAGGGCGCTTAGGACAGAAACCTGATTCAGCTTCATATCCTCTCTTCTCAGTTCATCAAACAGATCCAAAGCATTTGCAAAACAATCATTGTAGAAATAACCAGAAATCATCGTTCCCCAAGAAACATCATCCTTATTGTCGGACATCCCATAAAAAATCCGACGAGCGACCTCAACCAATCCACATTTGGAGTAAGCATCAATAAGACCGTTAGCAACTGCGGGTAGAAACAATCTCCTTGTGATGAAACCATGGAGAGACCTGCAGAGCAAAGCATTGGAGAGCTCACATACTGCTGGAAACAAGTTCAAAAATGTAACTTTATTGGGCGTAATACCAGCAGATGGCATCTTCCTGAAAAGAGCCAAAGCTTGATGCGATTGATTGTTCTGGGAGAACCCAGCAATCATTACATTCAATGAAACAACGTCCAACTCCGGCATTGAATCAAACACCTGAGACGCGGCCCACATCATCCCAACTCTACAATACATATCCAATAGAGTCGTGCCGATAAAGGCGTCTCCCTGTAGCTTCCTCTTTACGATCTCCTCGTGAATCGAAATTCCAGTTCTTGAATCCAGACTTCCAGTGCAGGCTTTCAACACAAACGTGAAGGTATACTTATCAGGTTCGATGCCTCGCTGCAGCAAAATATGATAGAGTCTTATGGCCTCTTCATGTTCTCCGCTTCTCGTGTATGCTCTAATCATGGAGTTCCATAACACGATTGATGGGTTCGGAGAGGAGCTGAAGACGGAGAGGGATAAATCGGTTCTATAGCAAGATGAGTAAGAATTCAGGAGCAGTGTGCGCAGAGAATTGTTGGATTGGATTCCGCGAGTGAACACTTGGGCGTGGATTTGTAGGAAAGATTCGAGCTTTTTACAGGAATGGATGAGTGGGATAAGGATGGAGCTTTGAGAAGGAACTGTTTGAGCTGGTTTAGTAGAATTAAACGCGGCTGTTGCCACCGAGAAGCACCAGCGAACACTGCGGGTTCGGACGACCATTGCAACTAGACTTTGCCTCTTTCGAGCCAAGCGCCGGAGGTCGCCCATCAAAAGGATGGTCGTCGGCGGCCATGGTTTAACGTTTTAGGATTCACGAACCAGCATTTAGGGGGTTTTAAACGGGGCATATACATACAACAACAACAACAACAACAATCCCACTACGTGGGGTCGGCTACATGAATCTTTTTTCTCCATTGCGTCCTATTTAGTGTCATATTTTCATTTAGTTCTAGTAAATTAGGATCATTTTTAATACAATAAGCCCAAGTCTTCCTAGGTCTACCTCTGCCTTTCTTAACACAAGTTGAATCTAAAACATCTACTCTCCTAATCGGATCATCAGATGGTCGACGTTTAATGTGACCAAACCATCTAAGACGACTTTATCTAATTTTGTTTGTCACAGGAGCTACACCAACCCTATCACGGATATATTCATTTCGCATTTTGTCTCTAAGTGTAAAGCCACTCATCCACCTAATCA